GGGAGGCCGAGGTGGGCAGATCACCTGAGGTCAGGAGTTCGAGACCAGCCTGGGCAACAGAGTGAAACCCTGTCTCTCCTAAAAATACAAAAATTAGCCACGCATGGTGGCAGGCACCTATAATCCCAGCTACTCAGGAGGCTGAGGCAGGAGAATCGCCTCAGCAATTGAACCCAGTAGGCAGAGCTTGCAGTGAGGCGAGATCGTGCCACTGCACTCCAGACTGGGCAACAGAGCAAGACACTGTCTCTAAATAAATAAATAAAAAAAATAAAGTATGTGTTTCCATGAAGCAGATAGTCTGAAATTTTATTGGGTTTTAAAATGTATCAGATGACTTTTTAAGGAATACATTACCTCACTCATTATATGTTGCTTAAAGTATTAAAATCTGTTTGTTTTTTCAAATCATTTGCTATAAAGTAGAAGAAACAGCCAAGGTTGCAAAAAGAACTATAGAAAATTGGTACGTGGGTAACTGAAAATTCACTACATATAAATTGTATTTGACAATTAGCAACAGTTACTTCACCACAATAATTCGCTATTGTCAAAATATGGCTGTTAAGTAGTTCAGTATTTTTTGAATGCTTACTAGGTTTAATGAGCTATTTTTCTGCTCAGAGGGGAATGAGAGTTTTTTCTTTAAAGAAAAACAACTAATAAGCTATAGTTATTACCCTCAGAGACCTTACAATCCACTGAAGAGTGTTGGAAGCAGATTTTATGTAAGAGACAAGGAAGTGCAGGTGAAATGAAAACAAAGTGGGGTGGGAATCAAAAGCAAAGATGAAGTGGGTGTGTGTAGGCGGGGGGGGGGGGGGTGGGGGGGAGGCGGGAGACAAACAAGAAAGGCTTAAGATGGTATTTCTGTTAGACCTTGTAGGACAAAGAGTTTGTCAGCATAAGCAACAGAAAAGTGAAGGTGCTTGGCATATTTTAGGACAGGCTATTGGCCCTGTGTGAGTGGAACGCCAAGAGTTCATGGAGGGAGAAAGGACTGTGAGGCCAAAAGCGTGAAGATACTAGAAAGCTTTAAATGTCTTGCTCAAAGAGTTTGAACTGTGAAAAAATAATCTACTCTGGTATATATAGGAGAAAAGCAGGTTACACCTAATGGCATCATCTACATACTTGGAATAGACATACTCAGATATCATCAGCCCTGAGCCTGGTTCTGTTGCTATCCAGAGGATGGGTATAGACATGTCACACTGGACGTGGTGGCTCATGCCTGTAATCCTAGCACCTTGGGAGGCCAAGGTGGGTGGATCACTTGAGGTCAGGAGTTCCAGACCAGCCTGGTCAACATGGTGAAACCCCGTCTCTACAAAAAAAAATACAAAAAGGAAAAAGAGCCAGGTGTGGTGGCGGGTGCCTGTAATCCCAGCTACTCTGGAGGTTGCCACAGGAGAAGCACTTGAACCTGGGAGGCGGAGGTTGCAGTGAGCCAGATCGCACCACTACACTCCAGCCTGGACGACAGAGTGAGGCTCTGACTCAAAAAATAACAACAAAAAAAATGTCTGACAGCTATGGACTATTGACTGGTGTGTAACTCAGGCTGGCCTATAGTAATCATGTTCCAAGGTTGATATTTTAAGAAAATTTGTAATTCAAATCAATAATGCTATTAGCTGACCCTTCTCACAAAAATCAGAAATCTTTTCTGGATAAAACTTACATTAAAGGGAAACATTGGATATATAATTTGTTGCTATAGGCAACAGTGTTATGAACAAGAGTTGCTGTTTCAAGCATCTATTTATATTAAATGTGGTAATGGTGATAATGCATGTAACGTGATCGGCACAGCGTCTGGTACATAGTATGTGCTAAATAAATGATAACTGTAACTACTGCCACCATTAGTATTACCATCATCAAATACTCTAGAATTCATCATTTAATTATACATAAACAACTTGGATTATATGCTGCACGTTTATAAAACTAGGCTATCTGTCCTCTGCTACGTAGCAGTTTTTAGTATTTTCCTATTCTATTGGATCTTTTGTTTATTTTTAATAGATTTTATTTTTTAGAGTGCTCTTCGGTTCACAGCAAAATTGAACAGAAATTATGAAGAGTTCCCACATAACCCTGGCCCTCACACATGTGCAGCCTCTCCTACCATCAACATCCCTCACCAGAACGGTACATTTGTTACAACCAGTGAATCTACATTGGCACATCATTGCCACCCAAAGTTCATAGTTTACATTTAGGTTCACTCCTGGTGTTGGACGTGCTAAGGGTTTGGACAAATGTATGACATGCATCCACCATTACAGTATGGTACACAGTAGTTTCTCTGCCCTAAAATTCCTCTATGCTCTGCCTATTCATCCTGATCTTTTTTTTTTATCTTCCTCTTCCTCCTCCTCCTCCTCCTCCTCTTCTTCTTCCTCTTCTTCTTCTTCTCTTCCTCCTCCTTCTTCTTCTGTCTTAGTCTGTTACCCAGGCTACAGTACAGTGGCCAAATCTTGGCTCACTGCAACCTCTACCTCCTGGGTTCAAGTGATTCTCCTGCCTCAGCCTCCCAAGTAGCTGGGATTACAGGCACCCGCAACCACCCCCTGCTAATTTTTGTATTTTTAGTAGAGATGGGGTTTCACTGTGTTTGCCAGGATGGTCTCAAACTCCTTACCTCGTGATCCACCTCAGCCTCCCAAAGTGCTGGAATTACAAGCATGCGCCACCCCACCTGGCCTTATCTCACTCAGTTCTCACAGCAACCCCATGAGGTAGGCATTATTAGCACCCTCATTTTGCCTCAGGAAGACTGAGGGCCACTGATTTAGCAACTTGCCCAAGTTATGTAGTCATTGCTAGAACTGGAATTCAAATAGAGGTAATGAAGAATCTGTCAATTAACCTAGTCCCTATTGTTAGACATTCAGACTGTTGCCATATTTTTTGCTAGCTCACATAAACAATGTTGTAATAATATCTTTTAAGCTAATGTTTGTGTACATCCTTAATTCCTTGGCATAAATTCATAGAGCTGGAATTTCTTGGTTGGAAGGTTGTTGATACACATTGCCAAGCTGTCTCCAGATAACTTACACAAATTTACTTCCCAGTAGTGTATTAGAATGCCTACTTCCTTGTACCCTTTCAACATTAGATACTGTGATTTTTTTTCTTTTTTACCTTGAACCTCTGATATTGCTAATTAAAAAAAAATTTATATGCCCATTCTTAAGGCGTACTATAAAAATAATCAAATTTTCAAAGCAAGCAGAAAACATTGTGATTTACACACAGTTTTGGAGATTCCTACCCATTGTTTTCCTTCAGTAGCACTAATTGAGAAGTTGTGCAGTAGCATGAACAGAATCTGAAAAATTTAGTTTTTCCTGAAAAAATCTCATATACACGTGGATATATGTGTACATGTATACATTTTGTGTGTATATGCATATACATGTATACATGTATGTATATGTGTACACAGAATACACATATACAAATATACATATATACACACAAACACACCTTTCAAGAAGCAGAATTTTATTATTTTATTATTATTTTTTTTTTTTGAGACAGAGTTTCACTCTTGTGGCCCAGGCTGGAGTGCAATTGCACAATCTTGGCTCACCACAACCTCCGCCTCCTTGGTTCAAGTGATTCTCGTGCCTCAGCCTCCCAAGTAGCTGGGATTACAGGCATGTACCACCACGCTTGGCTAGTTATGTATTTTTAGTAGAGACAGGGTTTCTCCATGTTGGTCAGGCTGGTCTGGAACTCCTGGCCTCAGGTAACCCACCCACCTCGGCCTCCCAAAGTGCTGGGATTACAGGCGTGAGCCACCACATCCAGCAGTGAAGATGCAGAATTTTAATACGTTTAATTCATGTTACTGAAGTTCACATCTTCATCAATCAAATGCACAGAAAATTCACAATATATAACATGAAACCTTATGGTTTGTGAAGTTTATAATCTAAGGAAAAAGATATGCTAAACTGAACTTAAATGTATACATATACTTTCTATAGAAATTATGACACTGGCTGTATTATAATGACATATCATAAGTAAGACAATTACCTTTTATTTTTTAATTTTTTATTTAACTTTTATTTTAGGTTTGGCAGTACATGTGAAGGTTTGTTACATAGATAAACACGTGTCACCAGAGTTTGTTGTACATATTATCTTTGTTTTTGTTTTTGTTTTGTTTTGTTTTGTTTTTTGAGATGGAGTCTTGCTCTGTCACCCAGGCTGGAGTGCAGTGGCATAATCTCGGCTCACTGCAACCTCTGCCTCCCAGGTTCAAGCGATTCTCCTGTCTTAGCCTCTTAAGTAGTTCAGACTACAGGCATGTACCATCATGCCTGGCTAATTTTTTTGTATTTTTAGTAGAAACGTGGTTTCACCATGTTGACCAGGCTGGTCTCAAACTCCTGACCTCAGGTGATCTGCCCGCCTTGGCCTCCCAAAATGCTGGGATTACAGGTGTGAGCCACTGCGCCTGGCCTGTTGTACATACTAGTTCATCGCCCATGTATTAAGCCCAGTACCTAATAGTTTTTGTTTTTTTTTGAGACGGATTCTCGCTGTTGCCCAGACTGGAGTGCAGTGGCATGATCTCGGCTCACTGCAACCTCTGCTTCCCGGGTTCAAGCGATTCTCCTGCCTCACCCTTCCGAGTAGCTGGGACTACAGGCACGTGCCACCATGCCCGCTAATTTTTTTTTTTTTTTTTTTGTATTTTTTAGTAGAGACGGGGTTTCACCGTGTTAGCCAGGCTGGTCTCGAACTCCTGACCTCATGATCAGCCCACCTCAGCCTCCCAAAGTGCAGGGATTACAGGCATAAGCCACTGCGCCCAGCTAATACTTATCATTTCTGCTTCCCTCCTCACACCCTCCCCGCTCAAGTAGACCCCAGTGTCTGTTGTTTCCTTGCGTACATAAGCTCTCATCATTTAGCTCCCACTTATAAGTGAGAACAACATGGTATGACAAATTTGTTTCATAAAATAATGAAAGATTTCCTAGAAGAGATTATTTTTAATGACTACCTAAGGGATGGGAAAGAACTAGTTTAGGTTCAGACAAAGGCTTAGGATTTCCAACTGAAAAACTTTGTCCAGGAAATCGTGAGAAGATTGACTGAAATTGATGATACCAGCAGGGAGACAGTGTGAAATGTCTGAGGTAGTAGGATTTGAACTTGAGCAACAGAATCATAAGCTACAAGAAGGACTTTTAATTGGACAAAATGTGGATCAAACATTGTATTGGCCAATTCTTTTAGTAATAATGTGAGAAATTAATTGTAGAAAACAAGACTTCTGGAAGAGAATTGTCCCCAAATTAAGTACTACAAGTGGCGTTTGCAAAGGAATTACCTTAGATAATTTTTCCACATGAAACAAAGTATTAAAATAGAAATAATGAGTTTCCTCAGATGTAATAAACCTCACTGGTATCTTTTGTGTAAATTTCCCACTGTGCCTTTCTCTCCCACTCCAGGAGAGTAAAAAGTCCTTGGAAGGAACTAAGATTATCAGCACCAAAGAACAATGTCATGGTGTGAAGCAGGCTGGGAGTAGAAGTAGGGGGAGGTTAGGGAGGGTTCTGGGTGAAGCTAATTCCCAACAATTATCTCCAGTGAAGGAATTAAGATAGGAGGAAAAATCAAACCTAGTTCCATTTAAGAAAGATCACCATAAACTAATATTGTAAAGACATTAAGATTTTTAAAAATTATTTTTCATTTTCCTAGGTTTGCTGTTTTTAAGCCATCTCGAACTACAGTAACTACAGACAAAATGCTCAGAAAATCCTAAACAAAGGGTTGTACACTATGTTCATAAATGTCTCTGCCTAGTTTCAGAAATGATTTAAGGTGGCCTATAATGCTACTTGACACCAACTGAACATGGGCTGGATGCACAGGGCACAAAGCAGGGCAGGAATGTACTACATGCCTGTGACTTTGTGGGCCATACAGTAGATTTGGGGTTTGTGGTTGCCAGTGTGAAAAGCAAAATCTAATGAGATAGATGTCAGTAGGCATAAAATTAGAACAGATGAATTGCTCAAGAAAAGCACAACCTTTTTTCTTAGGAAGATGAGACATTCCCCCTGCTTCCTTTGGAAGAGGAGGGAGTGGGGATGGAGAAGTGAGGCAGTGACACGCAGATTGAGCAAAAGTGCCAGAATTCCTGGTGGGAGAGAAAGAAACAGGCATGCCAACTTCAGAGTTGTTAGGAGATAAAGCAAAAGGGTGATTTGAGAGAAGGCAGTCTCAATGTCAGAAGAGGTGTTCGGGCTTCTGTTCAACAGAAGTGGGTGGAGTGATTTCCTGAGAGAAGTGAAGAAAATATTTGCACTTAATTAAACAAAATAATTGTGAGAGAACAGTTTTTTTTTTAACAATGCTTAGAAAATATGCATCTTTATTTATTTTTGTGTTGAATGAAACCTATGGTTCTTCAATGCCTTCTGTCACAGTGATTTGTTTCTAAAACATTGCTTTACCTACATATGTAGAGACACACACACGCACACACACAAACACACACACATTTTTTTCTCATTTGGAGTCTCTCTCTGTTGCCCAGGCTAGAGTGCCGTGGTACGACTACAACCTCCACCTACCAGGTTCAAGCGATTCTCCTGCCTCACCCTCCCGAGTAGCTGGGATTACAGGTGCCTGCCACCATGCCTGGTTAATTCTTGTATTTTTAGAGATGGGGTTTTGCCATGTTGGGCAGGCTGGCCTCGAACTCCTGACCTCAGGTAATCTGCCCACCTCAGCCTCCAAAAGTGCTGGGATTACAGGTGTAAGCTACCACACCTGGCTGTACAGTGCCATTTATAGGTCCTCGCCTCTCAGTCATTCTTCAGCCCAATCAAATCTGGCTTCATCTCACCGCACTCCTCCTTCAACTGAAAGTGTTTTCAAATATAAAAATTTGGCCAGGCTTGGTGGCTCACATGTGTAATCCCAGCACTTTAGGGGGCCGAGGTGGGTGGATCACGAGGTCAGGAGTTTGAGACCACCCTGACCAATATGGTGAAACCCCATCTCTACTAAAAATACAAAAATTAGCCGGGCGTGGTGGTGGGCGCCTGTAGTCCAAGCTGCTCGGGAGGCTGAGGCAGGAGAATCACTGGGGCCGGGGAGGCGGAGGTTGCAGTGACCCGATATGGTGACACTGCACTCCAGTCTGGCAACAAAGCCAGACTCCATCTCAAAAAAAAAAAAGACTGGATAGGTATGAAAGGCTTTGAGAGGTAAGCAGGTGATCAACAAATATTGTTGAATGAATGAATAAATGACTAAGTGGAAAGAAGAAAGATTCATTTAATGAACAGTTCTAATTTCTCCCACTATAACATTAATGCATTTGTGGGAATAATATTGAGTATCAAAATCTATGAAAAGGAAAATGTTTAGTTTCATGATTAGTGAACAATATTTTTAAATTGGTATCAAGCTATAATATTTCACTAAAATGTATTCGATAGATTTTATCACATTAAAAAATCATAAATCTATAATACATAACACATAACATATAAATTACCAAACTGATTCAAGAAGAAATAGAAAATCTCAACTGACCTATAACAAGAGATAGAATTGGTAATAAAAAACCTCCCAACAAAGAAATGTCAGATGGTTTCAATGCTGAACTCCACCAAACATTTAAAGAATCAACACTAGGCCGTGTGCAGTGGCTCATGCCTGTCATTCCTGCACTGTGAATGCTGAGGCAGGCGGATCACCTAAGTTCAGGAGTTTGAGACCAACCTGGCCAACGTGATGAAACCCCGTCTCTACTAAAAAACACACAAACAAAAAACAAACAAACAAAACTAGCTGGGCAGGGTGGTGGGTGCTTGTAATCCCAGCTACTTGGGAGGCTGAGGTGAGAGAATTGCTTGGACTTGGGAGGCAGAGGTTGCAGTGAGCCAAGATTGTGCCACTGCACTCTAGCCTGGGCAACAGAGTGAAACTCTGTCAAAAAAAAAAAGGAAAGGAAAAGGAAAAATACTCAGCAAGTAAAAGGAAACTTCCTTAACATGATAAAGGGCAGTTACTAAAAACTCACAGCTAATATCATATTCAATGGTGAAGGACTGAAATCTTCCCCCCTTGGATGAGGAACAAGACAAGGATATGCACTTTAGAAACCAGAGAGAGGTGGTAGGTGAACAACATTGTGAATGCACCAAACGTCATTGAATTGTATACTTTAAAATAGTTAATTGAATGTTATGTGTATTTCATCTCAATAAAAAAAAAATCAGCCAGGTGCAGTGGCTCACGCTTGTAATCCCAGCACTTTGGGAGGCTGAGGTGGGTCGATCACCTGAGGTCAGGAGTTCAAGAACAGCCGGGCCAAGATGGTGAAACCTCGTCTCTACTAAAAAAATACAAAAAATTAGCCAGGTGTGGTGGTGGGCACCTATAATTCTAGCAACTCAGGAGGCTGAGGCAGGAGAACTGCTTGAACCTGGGAGGCAGAGGTTGCAGTGAGCCGAGATCATGCCACTGCACTCCAGCCTGGGCAACAGAGAGACTCCATCTCAAAAAAAAAAAAAATCATATAATGAATCATGTATTCACTTTGGCTTACTGATCTACAAGTATATTCCCTATGTTTACAGGATAATTAGTAGAAAAGAGTTATAATTTAGAGATTACATTGTAACACCATGAAAAGCAAATTTTATTTACAATTCAAGATAAATGTGAGATAAAAGTCTAACTAAAAGCCTGAAAACTACTTTTAGGAGAGTCTGCAAATTTTCCTCTCAAAGTTAGAATTTTCTTTAAAAAAATTGGAAACCAGATGGTCTTATACATAAAATCTCAATGTTAAATCCATATGGGATTTAAAAATTAATTCTGTTGCAGCTGCAGCAATCATAACCGTAGTCAGTGTGTTTATTTTTCCTTCAGTAATGTTTAGAGCAGTGTTTCTCAAAGTGGGAACTTGTTAGAAACGCAGATTCTCAAGCTCCACCCCCAATCTACTTAATCAGAAACCCTGGGGGTGAGACTCCCGCTGGCCATCTGTGTTTTAATAAGCCCTCCCTGTGAATGCTCATGTTTGAAGACCATTAGTTAAGACCAATAGGCACCAGTCTTGGACAGGGAGGCCACTATAAGCATTTTCTTACCGGAGAATGTTGATTCCCAAACGTTTTTCTGTTTGTCCTAACTCTTAATGTGTCAGCTTGCAACACCTGTGAATTAAAACTAAAAAGAAAAAATTTGTTATATAAAATCCATTACAAAATTATTTTAAAGCAGATTTCAAATACTTAAACAGTAAGGGTAAAGGCAAGCTGTGCAAAGGTAGAAATTCACACACACACACACACACACACACACACACACACACACACACACACGGCCTTAGTTGGCTGAGCCTAAACAGGTCTCCATATAAGGTAAGGAATTCTCTAGCACACTACTTTACTTCTAATCATGCTACAGAGAATAAGTATAATTTATTGTGACCTTGGAAATACATCATTTTCAGTGTAAACCTGTAAATGATTTAAATTTATGTTCAGAGCAACAATGTGCAAATACCAATTCCCTCTCAACTCCCAAAGTGTCACAGGAATAAGAGGAATAAGCAATAGCAGGGGTTGATGGAACTGAGATTTTTCACAGATGTGTTTTGTTTGGCCTACACAGTGTTAAAAATGTTTTTGAATTTGTTTTGTACACTGTGAGATTTCACATTAAGAAAAAACCCAGATTCCAACTTTCTGGCTTCTATTGAAAAGTTGCAAGATTTTGCAACACTGGGCCACATTCCCATGATAACAATGGACTGAAGTTGTGCAGCTGCAGCCCACTGAAGATGGATCTGTGTCCTCAGGTTTGATGGTTGCCCACCCAAGTGAATCCTATTTGACCTTGTAATCCCGAAGAAATCATCACGTCATTTTTTTTTGTTTTTCAGAGACGTGGTCCTGCTATATATTCCCCAGGCTGCCCTCAAACTCCTAGGCTCAACAATGCTCCTGCCTCAGCCTCTCAAGTAGCCATGACCACAGATCCCAGCTGTGCCTGGCATCTTTTCCTTTTCATTATAACTTTTTATTTTGAAACGATTTGAGACTCACAAGAAGTTGCAAAAAGAATACAGATGGTTCGCATGCACCCTGCATCCAGGTACCTCCTATATGAGAAATCATCTGTAACCCTTTTTTGTTTTAGCTGCCTATAGCCAATCAACTGCCAGTATTTTAGATTTTACCTCTATACTCGCTCCCTCTGATATCCACCTGATTCTTTTCAGGCTCCTTGCCAAAAACCAATTCAAGGCCTTTTTCCTTTTCTGCAGACTGACTGCCGTAGTCTAATTGGGCTCCTTGCCTCTCTTCTTTCCCTTCTCCGGGCTATCTAACAGACTACCGGGGGCACCTTCTTAAAGAACAGTTTGCTCACAACTTTCAGTGACTCTCTTCAGTGCCTGTCAGATTCAGTTATGTTCTTTACTATGACATTCAAAGCCCTCCACAGTTTGGCTCCAGACTCTTCAATTTCATGGACAAGTACAATTTCAAAACAAAATCTAGGCAGAAACATACATTGCCACTTATTTCTTTTGCCAAGTCATTTCTTTTAAAAAAAAATTCCACCATTGGCCGGGTGCAGTGGCTCACGCCTGTAATCCCAACACTTTGGGAAGCCGAGGCAGGTGGATCACAAGGTCAAGAGATCGAGACCATCCTGGCCAACATGGTGAAGCCCCGTCTCTACTAAAAATACAAAAATTAGCTGGGCGTGGTGGTGTGCGCCTGTAATCCCAGCAACTCAGGAGGCTGAGGCAGGAGAATTGCCTGAACCCGGGAGGCGGAGGCTGCTGTGAGCAAAGATGGTGCCACTGGACTCCAGCTGGGTAACAGAGTGAGACTGTCTTAAAAAAAAAGAAAAAAGAAAAAAAAATCCCACCATTGACCAACACCATCATTTCATTCGTAAAAGGACATTTTGGTATTTAAAAAATAAGAGAATAACAGTCTCAGAGTACAGTACAGCCCTGCCCAGGAAGGACAATTAACAACTACATAATGACATCTTTAATTATGCTGTACTTAACTTCTCCAAAAGCATGGATTGGTAAAAACTTCATCTGAGATCAGCACTAATCAGCAGATGAACATTTGGGAGTCAGGGGTTCAGGCAAAGTGGAACATTCAGTTCTCTGAATACATCTATGCTTTTCTGCCTTCAAGTCTGTTGTATATGTAATACTTAAAATGCTATCCCAACCCCAGCCCCCTCTCTTCCAGGGTGTATCCTATCAATCCATGAAGGCCCATCTCAAATGCCACCTTCTCCTTCTCCCTCCCTTCTTTGAATTCCCCTAGCACTTTCTTTAGCTCCCTAAGCACTTATCTGACTCTACCATACATTTAAGTCCTTTGAGTATTTATATTCCCTATTAAAGCTTATTGAGCCCTGAGATACATCTTTGCAACATGATAATTTGCATACAACAGATCGTCATTCAATATTTTGTGAATGAGAAGGTATATGGATGTATCTAATTTTACTTCTATTCCCAGTCATTTTCTTTGTGAGAATAGGAATATGTTCTGGCAGTCACTTATAAGAAAACTGGAGGGACAGTAATGGGCTATTTCTTTCCACTCTCTTTCGTGAATGTGTGTAAGGGGCCTAATTCTTAGGGCTGGCAATGATATATTCTCTCCTAAATTTGCCAATTTTAGTAAGACTATAACTGAAAGAAAGAACTCAGGCAGCATATACTTCAACTGGTATGCATCATTCAACATGAATTTATAAAACCCTAGGTGATATCTGAACTGAGCTAAGTGCTACTTCTAACTTGGAAAAAGCAGAGGTAGTATATAACTGGATGGATGTTCAACGTTCCACATCAAACGATCAATAAACAGCTCTGTCTAAACTATAATAGATTTACGTCATAATATTCCCAAAGCAATAATTTTTCATGGCTGCTATTCTTCCACGTTCCTAGGAGTTCAATAAACCAGAGGGTGGGCAAACTTTTTCTGCAAAGGGCCATATTAGGCTTTGTGGGCCATATAGTATCTGTTGCAACTCCTCAGTTCTGCCACTGCAGTGGGAAAGTAGCCATGGATAATAAGTAAATAAATGGGCATGGTTCCATTCTAATAAAATTTTATTTGCAAAGTCAGGTGATGGGATGGATTTGGCTTTGGGGCAGTGATTTGCCTTTCAAATAGAGTTGAGGGCCAGGTGCGGTGGCTCATGCCTACACTCCCAGCACTTTGGGAGGCCAAGGCAGGCAGATCACCAGGTCAGGAGTTCGAGACCAGCCTGGCCAACATGGTGAAAACCTGTCTCTAATAAAAATACAAAAATTAGCTGGGCGTGGTAGTGCACACCTGCAGTTCCAGCTACTCGGGAGGCTGAGGCAGGAGAACTGCTTGAACCCGGGAGGCAGAGGTTGCAGTGAGTCAAGATTGTGCCACTGCACTCCTGCCTGGGCAACAGAACAAGACTCCATCTCAGAAAAAAAAAAAAAAAAAGAATTGAGGAAGTCACAGTTTAAATGCAGGGTCAAGGTAGAGGTTTTTAAGGTAGGGAGACACTGGCAGGAATACAAGAACCTAATCTCTGAGTCTTTGAATAATGGCCAGAGAAAGAGAAGGAAAAAAAACCTCCTAGCTTTAAATATAGTTAGACACCAGTAATAAAGTCAGTCACCTACAGAGATAAAAAGTATAAAGAAACAAGAGGTTCAAAACTTTTGACACTGGAATTTTTATTAGTACAAGATATACACAAAACAGTGCAGAAACTTCTTCGAAACAGTAACACTGTATTGAAAAGAGTTGACATGAAAGAAACAAATGTAAGGAATTTAATTCTGCAAACACCGGTGCGAGAGGGTCCTTATATAGAAGAAACATCAAGCAAAGTTCGAAAACTACTTGAAAGAGGTGCAATAATGTTTAGCAAGCTAAATTTTTCTACAACAGCACAAAACGTGCCCTCAGATTATTTGGGTAAGTTCGGTGACCTCAGGCATGTCACATCATTCCTGTTACTTCTTTCTGATGGACTAGAGTCCCTGGACTCCGTCCACTTTGTGGTTTCTATATCTTTAACTCCTACTAAAGAAATATGCTAGTGACTCTCACCTTTCTGAAAATAAAGTTTTACTACCAGGTATAGATTAGAAAGAGGTAGTACACAAGTGTTAGAGGGCCAAGGAAGGGAAAAAAAAGAGAAAAGTGAGCAGTATACATACGCAAATGAGAACTGAGGCAAAAATGAATTCAACTAAGGCTCGGTGTAATCCTAAATTTTTCTTGCTTCAGAATAACTTTTCTGACCACACCCTACATTTTCTACAACAGCACAAAAAATGCCCTTAGATCATTTGGGAAAGTTCCCTGACCTCAGGTATGTCACACATCATTCCTATGCTACTTCTTTCTGAATGGACTAGAGTCCCTGGGCTCTGTCCACTTTGTGGCTTCTATATCTTTAAACTCCTAGTAAAGAAATATGCTAGTGACCCTCATCATTCTGTACAAATTTTACTTCATGCATCAGGATTTTAAGCTATGGAATCCAACATTGTAGCTATGCTCTAATATGATAAAAGAAAAATAAAAACCAAACACAAAAAACAAATCACTTGCAGAACAAAACAAGGTATGAAGGGATAACTGAGATCTGTTTCCAGGACTCTGAGGATTAGGGCAGGGGCCCAGCCCACGCCTTCTCTGGCGTATTTAATACATTAAATAGGATCTAAAGGTTCTTTCAAGTCAACATCCTCCATCATCTATTTGCAACCTATTTCTTCTTTTTACATTGACTTCAATAAAGCCAGCATTCTCCCTACTGCTCTCTTCTCCTAGTAGCATGGGTCCCTTAATTCCTTTATTGCCACAACAGGATTAGAGCAAAATCCTGAGTGTATAAAATGTTCTTGTTCTCAGCACAACATGCAGAGTCCCCATTATATGTTTTTCTGGCAGCCTATTTTAAAAAGGTAATGTATTTTCTTGCAGTCAATCTTCGTTTACTTTTCACTTTGTGAACAATATATTTTCTCCTACTTCAAATGACCCCAAAGCAGCATTTATTTAGAGTTAATCAGCTTAGATATTGATTAGCAGTGGACAGAACAGTCGTTTAGGAGTAAGGAAACCAAGGTTCCTAGTACTGGCTCTGCCGCTAAACATGTCATTTTGGAGATTTATGGGCCTCAGTATGCTCATACGTTAAACGAGGAGGGTAAAGCTGGTCTCTGAATCCCTTCCTGATAGTCTATGATATTGTGAATTACAACTATCAATTAGTATGATGCCACAAAAGGTGAGGGGCAAAGTTAGTAACGTATGTAGTGAATGCATTATTCAGATATTTTTACAATATCTAGAAAATCTTATATACTGAAATGTGAGATCCAAAATCTCATTTTAAAACTCTAGTTTAAGAAATAAGATTTAGTAATGCTAGACCTTCAGAAATACAGTTAATCATCACTTAGCACAGTGTTTTAAAATCCTTTTTCCATTATTGACCCTCTAAAAAGTCTCTTTAGACATTTTCCCCAATTGCTCCCCATGAAATTTTAATAACACATATGTACTATGTATGTGTATGTACTGTATGTATATCTGTATACATAAAAAGAGCAAAAATTTTTCACACACCCCTAAGGACTATTTTCTCCACCCTTGGGGAGTTACCACCCAGCATGAATGTGTAATTTAGGAGATCAAGCTTCTGTGGTATCAAAACTTTTTGCTCCAGTAAAAAATATGTGTAGGCAGGGCCCGGTGGTTCATATCTGTAATCCCAGCACTTTGGGAGGCCGAGGCAGGCAGATCACCTGAGGCCAGGAGTTCCAGACCAGCCCGGCCAACATGACAAAACCCCGTCTCTACTAAAAATACAAAAAATTAGCCAGGTGTGGTGGCGGGCTCGTGTAATTCCAGCTACTAGGGAGGTTGAGGCACGAGAATCGCTTGAACCCGGGAGGTGGAGATTACAGTAAGCTGAGATCGTGCCAGTGCACTCCAGACTAGGCGACGGAGCAAGACTCTGTCTAAAAAATGTGTGTGTGTGTGTGTGTGTGTGTGTGTGTATAAAAGTCCAAAGCTTATTTGCTTGACAATCATTTTCATTCAAGAGGCTGTAGGTGAAGGTCAGAGGTGACAATGCAGCTGAAATGACAAATATTAGAGTCATGGCAGAAGATCTGGAGGTGAGTGGGGGAGGATGCTAAATTTCTTCAAAGGAGTGGGTAAGAAATGGGCTGAAGTTAGAAAAAAGTCCTGCTCCACACCAATTGGCTGCTGCTTTCAGTTCCGGGTAGACTGTCAGGAGAGGACATTCAGGTTTAGATGTTTGTCAACCTCAGGGTAGATGCGCACTCTCAGTCAGGTCAGCCCATCCCACTACCCCCACCGAAGGTTGAGGGTGGGATTTCTGGACACCAGGAACAAGGGAGATATCTGCAGAACCTCAACAAATAAAGGGACGGGAATTCTATAGGAAATCACTTTCCTGAGCACCTCCTCCCCACCCGCTTGCCTCCTCCAGTATCTCAACCCGGCTCACCCAAGTCCATTGATCAAAGGGGCACTGCTGACTCTTCTCAAAATGTTGCTGTCTGAGGTGGTGGAAGTCGGCGGCAGCTCGAAATCTAGTTCCATTTTCTCCTGCGCCATGTCTGGATCGAAGAATAAGTTCTCAAGGTTTTCCGGCTCCAGTTCACACAAGGAAAGCCGACTAAGTGGCAGATGATGTAAGAAGAGATGCAAAGGGGAAAAAGAGAAGAGGGGAGAAAGCTCTTAGATGAGTAGGGGTGCCCACCTTTGCAGCCCTAGCATGCCTAACATCAGTGAACACAAAGTTAGGCAGGACTGGCTCCGAACCGCCTATCTCCCATGGTAGGGGTCTCTAACAATGAGAAGGTCCCCCACCTCCAACTCTATAAGGTAACTGGGGAATTTAACCTGTCACCGCCGCATATCCTCTTCATCTCTCTCAGCCCTGGCAATTCATGGTAAGCCTTTCGGGACAAAACAAAAACTACAACCTGCCGCCTTTGACAATCAGCTGGGTCCCGCCCCTCGGAGCCGGCGCTACTCTTCCAGCGAGACCACAAGGATTGTGACGCACAATGACGTCACTTTACGCGCCTTTGTCAGCTTTCCCAGTGGCGCAAGCGCAAAGAAGTCGCTTTCTTCCCCATATCCCGCCCGCTTTCCTTTTTCCCCAAAGCCCACCCGCCGTGGTTGTGCCACTTTTCTTTTGCTAACCCTGGCACGGTTTCCATAAGCATTATTTAGAAATGAAAGCGTTGGGAGGAGTGAGTTCCTTTTTGCTCTATGCCTGGTACTCAGTTTTCTCATCATCCCTTTATGAGTGAGGCCAACAAGCTTCTAACCTCCTATGATGCATTTTTCCATCCTGTAACAGCAGACATACTACACCTTAGTAATTTTACAAAAGCAAAAGTCTGAAAAGGAAAAGAAAAGATACTACTACCTAGGTGCTTAGAGGCCACTTGGTCCCAAAGAGGCTTGCTAAGGCGGTAACCTAATTGAGCTCATTTGGCAAACTAATTACTGTTTTCAGTGTGGTTTCTTTTTTTTTTTTAACCATAATTGTACAGTGTGGGTTTTTTTGTTTGTTTTTTGGGAGGGTGTTTTTTGAGACGGAGTTTCGCTCTTGTTGCTCAGGCTGGAGTGCAGTGGCCGTAGTCTCGGCTCCCGTGATTCTCTTGCCTCAGCCTCCCGAGTAGCTAGGATCACAGGTACCCACCACCACATCTGGCTAATTTTTGTATTTTTAGTAGAGACAGGGTTTCACCATGTTGGCCAGGCTGGTCTCAAACTCCTAACTTCAGGTGATCTGCCCACCTCCGCCTCCCAAAGTGCTGGGATTACAGGCATGAGCCACCGCGACCAGCCACCGTGTGTATTTTTACATTATATTTAATCTGGCTCCTCACAAATCATTCATGCAAAAAACAAAGACCTCAGCTAATTTACAAGATTTGAGTTAAAGCAGTAAGACTTTTCTTAAAACAAATATCGGCCAGACACGGTGGCTCACGCCTGTAATCCCAGCACTTTGAGAGGCCGATGCGGGCAGATCACGAGGTCAGGTGATCCAGACCATCCTAACCATAATGAAACCCCACCTCTACTAAAATACAAAAATTAGCCGGGCCTGGTGGCGCGTGCCTGTAGTCCCAGCACTCAGGAGGCTGAGGCAGGGAAATGCTTGAACTTGGTAGGTGGAGGCTGCAGTGTGCCGAGATCGCGCCACTGCACTCCAGCCTGGGGACAGAGCAAGCAAGATTGCGTCTCAAAAAAAAAAAAAAAAAATCTCAGAATTTAGTATCTATGTAAATCACTGTTTCCATTTCAGCTAATATTAGAGGCTATATACATTCTAACAATATTGCCATGGCTCATCATTTTAAGAACTGCTCTTTTAGAAATTTTCACCACCAGTTAATAAGCCACATTGAGTACTGAAGTCTTAATTCCATGCTAATAATTTTGCAAAACCACACATTTTAGTAACCATATAGAGAACTGGCAGACAAGGCAAATAAATCTAGTGAAATGGGAGTTATTAATTAAAATAGTCATAACACGGCCAGGCACAGTGGCTCACGCCTGTAATCCCAGCACTTTGGGAGGCCGAGGCGGGCAGATCACCTGAGGTCTGGAGTTCGAGACTGGCCTGATCAACACGGAGAAAACCCGTCTCTACTAAAAATGCAAAAAATTTGCTGGGTATGGTGGCACATGCCTGTAATCTCAGCTACTCAGGAGGCTGAGGCAGGAGAATCGCTTGAACCCGGGAGGCGGAGGTTGCGGTGAGCCGAGATCACAGCATTGCACTCCAGCCTGGGCAACAAGAGTGAAACTCAGTCTCAAAAAAAAAAAAAAAAAGAAAAAAAAAAGTCATAACACTGGTATAGCACTATACAGTTTACAAAATTTTTCTTCTTCTCTTTTTTAATTTTTATTTTTTGAGACGGAGTTTCACACTTGCTGCCCAGGCTGGGGTGCAATGGCATGATCTTTCAGCAATCTTGGCTCACTGCAACCTCACCCTCCCAAGTTCAAGCAATTCTCCTGCCTCAGCCTCCCAAGTAGCTGGGATTACAGGCATGCGCCACCACGCCCAGCTAATTTTGTATTTTTAGTAGAGACGGGGTTTCTCCATGTTGGTCAGGCAGGTCTCGAACTTCTGATCTCAAGTGATCTGCCTGCCTTGGCCTCCCAAAGTGCTGGGATTACAGGCGTGAGCCACCGCACCCAGCCTACAAAAGGTTTTCACATACTTATCTCCAATGGTTCAATCATCAACCCTGCTCAGCTAGCCAGTGGTGAACTTAAAATAATGGGACAGTCTTGAGATAGTTCGTGACAAGTCATGACATGTAAGATCATAATTATTTATTCTTTGTTCATTGTGGGAATAGAATAAGACAAACTTGATTACATTAGACAGAATTAGATTACTTAAACCCCAGACATCAGGATGATTTGGAGTCTCCGTTCCTAAGACAGATGACTAATAGCTACCATTTATTGGTCACTTACTATGTGCGAGGTACTGTCCTAATCACTTTAAATATATTATTGCATTTAAAGTTTACAATAATTCTGTGAGGTAGGCACCATCGCAATGCCCTCTTTTCAAAGGAGGAAACCAAAGCCCAGAGGGTTTATTCACGTTACAACTACTAAGTGGTAAAACCAAGATTCCTCTGCCCTTCTGTTTAAGTAAAAAAATGAGATGCCTTAGAATATCTCCCTGGACACAATTTCTGTACTCATAAGCATTTGGTAAATACTTATTAAATTATTTTATGAATAAATGCAGGTTTAGATACCCTATCTTTCATTGTTCTCTTGTAGAGCAGGTAAATCATTTCTATTTTACAGTTGGATAAAATTCCAAAGAGATTAATAGCACATAATTAGATACCAGCAGAATTCAGGCTAGTATCAAGATCTCCTAAATGCCACTGTTAAAATTCCTAGGGTACTTGGAAAGTTTATAAAAGATGATGGTTAAAGCTGAGTAAGTTCAGGGTGAATGCAGAAGGCAGTGATTAAAGACAGAACAGAGTCAAAAACAAATTGTCTGAATAACAGAAAAATATGGAGCACACCAGCAAACAAGTGAATCTTACCTCCACTCTTCATTTTACTTTTCACCATTTGCTGGTATTTTTGGCAGGTAATAAGTTTTCATACATATATTTTGAATAAATGGACAAAATCTCATCCTGCCTAAGCATTACAAATATCTAATTTTTAAATAAGTACAATAACACTAAGAAAATAGGTATACTGGGCCAGGCGCTGTGGCTCACATCTGTAATCCCAGCACTTTGGGAGGCCAAGACGGGTAGATCACAAGGTCAGGTGTTCGAGACCAGCCCAGCCAACATGGTGAAACCCCATCTCTACTAAAAAAATACAAGCAAATTAGCTGGGCATGGTAGTGTGAGCCTGTAAACCCAGCTACTCAGGAGGCTGAGGCAGGAGAATCGCTTGAACCCGGGAGGTGGAGGTTGCAGTGAGCTGAGATTGCACCATTGTACTCCAGCCTGGGCAACAGAACGAGACAACTTGGTCTCAAAAAAAGAAAATAGGTAGACTGGGCATGGTGGCTCACGCCTGTAATCCAAGCACTTTGGAGGCCAAAGCGGGCGGATCACCTGAGGTCAGGAGTTCAAGATCAGCCTGACCGACGTGGTGAAACCCCGTCTTAAAAAATAAAAAAAAGCCGGGTGCGGTGGCTCAAGCCTGTAATCCCAGCACTTTGGGAGGCCAAGGCGGGTGGATCACGAGGTCAAGAGATCGAGACCATCCTGGTCAACATGGTGAAACCCCGTCTCTACTAAAAATACAAAACATTAGCTGGGCATGGTGGTGCGTGCCTGTAATCCCAGCTACTCAGGAGGCTGAGGCAGGAGAATTGCCTGAAGCCAGGAGGCGGAGGTTGCGGTGAGCTGAGATCGCGCCATTGCACTCCAGCCTGGATAACAAGAGTGAAACTCCGTCTCAAAATAAAAAATAAAAAAAAATAGGTATAATAAAATGACAAGGAAGGAGTGACCAAGGGACTATGTTTCTAAGAAAAGGATTTAGTAGTATAACTAAATATATGAGATAGTAATAAGTTTTCAGCTATTATCAAAGAGAAGGAGCTCCCTTTAACTAAAGAACAGCTACATGTCAGGAACCCCAAACCTGTAAAGATATAAATAGGACTCATAGTACGTACACAAATTGGAATAATAAAAAGGAATAAGTAATACAAAAACACCAAGAATTCTATATGCTACAATGGCAAACACAACATTAAAGAAATTGCTTTTACTTCTCCCCATTTCTACCCACACAGTATTATACCAACCTAGCTTTGTTTCTTGATCAGTTCTTTCGGTTCAAGGGAAATACGCCATGATCCTGGGATACTGGTTTTCTTCGATCTAGACTTGACACTTACGCCACTCTTCTCTTTGCATATCCCAGTCTGCTGCCGTCTGTCCCAGGCCTTCACCTATAAAAGGTAACCAACAAACATGTGATAATCAGCTCTTTATTTTCCCAGTTGTCATGGCAACCTGGAAGCTACTACAGTGTAACCTTTAGTTAACCCAAGAGTAAGTCAAATACAAGTCGAACCCAAATCTACAAACCACAAACACCCCAAACCTTCCCAAGGGATTTACATGAAAGGTAAAAGAAACTAGCAGGCAAGAAAGATGTAAATAAAACCTGAAAATGATGGCCCAAGTAGCACTCTTCTCCTCGCCTATCCTTGAATTTCTCCTAAATTGTTAAGCTCCTCAAAGTTAGGGGTTCGAGGAAATTGTTTGACTTCTCAGAGTTAGGGTCAGTGCAAGCTGCAGCCAACAAGTGATTGTTTAGTAGCTATTGTGAACAAAAGAATGTGTTATAATTTCTTTTGAGCATGGAGTAGGAGGTGGAGCTGGCCTTAAGGGTTGCTGAGACCTTGAGATAAAAACAGATGCATAAGTTGCTCAAAAACAGAAGTT